TTAGGAAGTCAAACAAAATTGGTTGATCCCACTGATGTAATGGTTTTAATATATAAAATATTTATGTGGATTAATGTTCTGTGTGCTTAAACTGAGATTAGATAAGTATTATGATACTGGAATAATGTGTTTTATATGGCTTCACAAGTCTGTTAAAAATATTTTAGCATAGATTTTCAGCATATGTGTCCTAAAAAGTTCCTTCATATTTTTTTTCTTTAATTAAATCAGGTTTAAAATGCCATGAGCATGCTATTTAAAGGAAATATACTACATAACTAAGAACCATTTTGTAGAGAAAAATTGCATTTCTCCTTATCTCTACTATTTTCTTATAGTGTCTCTAATGTCTCACTACTTTTCTTGCATATAATGACAATGTGATCCACTGATTTAGTAAAGTGCACTTGATTGTTGATTTTCATGTGTGTTGTATGTGTATTTATATGTGATATATATGATGTATATAATAAATAAAATATATAGAATATGTATATATTATATTTGTATAGACTTATAACTTTCCAGAAGCTTATAGAAATACACTGGTATAAATATTTATTGATTGATAGACTTTTAAATACTGATTTGATTGCAGGAAAACCAAAGAAATATAACATAAAAAAACTTGCAACACATATAGAGTGCAAAGATTACCTTTCTTCCTTCCAATTACAAAGTGAATTCAAGTTTATGTACTTGATTCTACACATTTTCTTGATAGTTCAGGAAAATCTGACTTGTGTGTTTTGAATAACATAGTGGCATAATGAAAATTATAACATGATCAATCCAATCAGCTATTTTCTTTTGTTGATTAAGAGAAAAATTCAAATTATGGAATTGTGAAATCACAGGCAATATGTTGGTCATTGTCTGTAAAATATAGTCATTTCTTCATTATTTGTTGAATGAATAAGTTCTCTCTCTTTAAAATTACTTGAAAAGAGAAAAACATCTCTAACAGTCATTGCTCATTATTGTGCTATTTTTTATATTGATGGTCTTCAAAGAAAATACGGGCTTGGAATCAAAGGTGTTTGAGACTCTATCTCCTATCTGTGTGACATGAGAGAACATAGGCCAACACTCTGAACTTGATAACTTAAAAAATCAGAATAATACCAGCGGCTTCTTTGCACGGTTATGTGAAACATGCACAAAATGAGAGAATGTTTGTAAAGTTCTTATCGCTTAATAAGTATTACATAAGTTATAGGAGCGGGATATCAGAAAAACATTCCTAGGACATAATAATAAAAGGCAATAATAATAATAATAATAATATGACAGTGAACTTAACATTTCACATGGATTATCTCATTTAACTTTTAAGCAATAACATAAATTACTATTGTTACCTCTATTTTAGAAATGATTAAAATAAGACCTAAGAACTTGTTAATGTCACAAGTCAATAAAGGGCAGAACAGTGATTGAATAAGTAAAGATAGCAGCTATTAATATCATATTATTATCCTCATCATTGCCATCATCAATGCTTGCTGCTATCTCTGTAGCAGACTAGGCTATAAAAATGAGCTCTTGGGTACTTCCAAAGATAACTGCCTCCCCTTGGAAGGAATCCAGAACAAGCCCACATTAAGCTAAATTCTGCATTAGAGTGGGCTGTCGTACAGTTGGGAGGATTTATTCCAAGCACCTAGAAGGCACATGAAAGATGAATAGATAAAATTCATCAGACTTTCTTTTTTCTTTAAATGTATCTCAATGCAATGAAGAGAAGGAACATGAAACCATTTTGTCCATACACAAAAGCATTTTTAAATGTAATTATAACTGAGTGATCTAGTTATCAGTTCCTTGGAAATCAAACACAGGGCCAAAGGTATGTACACTACACATGAAATATGGTCTAGATTGTTGATGGGTGATAAAAATTAAAGAATTGAATATGAATGCATGAGTCTACAATGAAGAGACTCAAAAGGAAAAGTGTAGAGTTTACCCAAATTGAATTCTATGAAGCTCTTTTTTCAAAAGTATCCCCTCCTATCTCCTTCAATTACCAAGATAAATGTAAACTTTCAGTATTTTAGATATAAATTAATACCCAAAGTGTATATTTTCCTTAAAAAACATTTCAATGACTTAACATCATGTCTGCATTATCACTGTAAAACACTGATATAAAAGATGATTTCACAAAACGCCAAAATATACTATTCAAATGGATCATGAAAAACAGAACATAATGTTAATATCCCCATTATTTTATAAAAATCTCAACAAAACATTCTATATTTTGATAATAAAATTTTCTAAAATAAGTCAAATGACTTTCAACTTTTATTTTCATAATCATCACTAGTGTCAGACATTTAAAGTACATCATGATTTTTCTTTTTATTCAATTTGAAAATGTGACTGTTACAAATGGAAATTGATCATTAATGAATTTAGAATACCAATTTTTAAAAAATGAAAGAATTAAAAACACCAGTTGTAGCTGCAGATTCAAAACTCAAATTGATAACGGGTAGACTTGACAGAGGAAGCCAAAAACTAATGATTTCATAACAGGAATCTTGATGGAAAAATCACCTGAATATAACATCTCACAAATCGAAAATATGCCTAAACCCATTAAATTGTCTAGTGTTCACATGGCAATGCTGCAAAGCCTCCCACATGACAGTCACTTCCCCCCACCCCATGCCATGTAGGAATGAAATGGAAAGCAAGACCTCACCATCCCCAATACCTGTGAGTAATTCTTCACCTCTTGGCCTACCTTGTGGTGTATCACAGTCAGAATCAGGAACCAGGAAAGGTATCCTGTGAATAGACACAGTTGCTTTTTTATTTTTCACATGCTTGTCACTGGCCTCTGACTCAAACCTAGGTAATCATGGAGGGAAGAGTGTCCATAGATTCAAAGTAACAAGACAAGGAACAAACAAGAGAGTTTTGGTATTTGAAAGACTATACTTTTAAAAAGGCTTTTTATGTTTATACTCTCCCAGTTGTCTAGTCATCTTGTCTCTAATTCTGATTGCCTTAATAAGTGTAGGTTGTTGTATTCATAGTCAAAACCCAAAGTAAGAATTTAAAGTCTTAGCCATAGAGATAGAATCTGGAGTCAAAAAGACCCTGGTTTCAATTCCTCTGTACACCCTCTCACATGTTCACTATGTAAGTTGGAAGTTACTAGTTCTCATGTATGTCAAAGTCTACATCTATAACCAGGGATGACAATACATACTCCATAGAATCATTGTGAGATGTCAGATGCTTAGCAAAGGGCCTAACATTGAAAGTGGTTAGTATTATAATTACTCCTATAGAACACCACTCATTACAAGCCAGGGTTAGGGGCTTGGAGGCAGTAGAGGAGATCTGCAAGCCTCAATCACCTTTCACAGCCTCAGGTTACTTGTTCAAAATCTCCCTTCTCACCTAGTATTGTCATTCTTCCTAAAATTTTTCTTCCTTCTTCACCATGGTTTGTAAAGCTAGTGTAGAACTTTATCACTAATCATGGCACAAATAAGGCTTAACAGAACTATGGACTTTTGTCCTTTGCAATACCTAAATCATCTGTAATGGAGATTTTAGAAGTTTTCCCTCAGCATAAAGGAGAGCTCTACTACCTTATGAAATAATAATAATAATACCTAAACATGATGAAGAATTATTTACTGGGATAATTTTAGCCTCTTTGTGTTTTCTAAATGGAAGTACTTTTTATACAGATGACAGGTAACTAAATGGATAACTATTAAGGCAACAAAACTAGAAATATTATACAATTTCAAATGTTTTGAAATTGCCCTGTTCTTTTCACAAGACAATTTGTAAGCTACATAAGGACAGAGCTCTTGTCTATCTTCTTCCCTGATGCCTCTTAAGCACCTAAAATCATGCCTGGTATATCAAGGAATATATCTCCTTCTTTAGAAACTTGCAAAAAAAAATAAATAAAACAAAAGCAGCCATATTGGTTTATTTTTTAAAATCAACAAAAATTATAATTTCCAAGCATTTGCTTATGAAGGCAAACTCTGACCTTGAATCCTGGGTTCGACTTTGTATTGTGATCCTAAGTAATTCACTTAATTCCTCTGTGTCTGTTTCCCCTTTTTAAGATGTGTAGATTTGCTACCTCATAGTGTTGTTATTAAACTAAAATAAGTTAATACATGAGTGAAGAGACTTCAGAACTTTCTGGTATAAAGAAAGTACTCAAGGGCTGGGGATGTGGCTCAAGCCGTAGCAAGCTCGCCTGGCACGCGTGCAGCCCGGGTTCGAGCCTCAGCACCACATACAAAACAAAAAAGATGTTGTGTCCCCGAAAACTAAAAAATAAATATTAAAATCTCTCTCTCTCTCTCTCTCTCTCTCTCTCTCTCTCTCTCTCTCTCTCTCTCTCAAAAAAAAAAAAAAGTACTCAATAAATGCGGGGTGTTTTTATTAAAATTGGAAATTTTGCTGAGACATTGAGATTCATGAAATAAATGCAGCTGGGGGTCCCACAGCCAAGTGACAAAGCCAGAGCTAAACCACTACGTTACTGTCTAATATATGGAAAAGATCTCCCTATTGTATCAAGCTACCTGCTCATCCTTTGTACCTGTATACTTTGTAAAATTATTTACTAGAAAAAAAAAAAGATGAGTATGATTCACCCTCTTAGAAAATGCAATTGGAAAAAAAAAATTAGTATTCTGAGATATTTGTTGGAAATAATGAGAAAACCTTGACCCATAACACACAAAGCAGTTCATAGAACTGCCCTAATTCCAAGTTTAGCACACTTAAATAGTCTGGAAATTTTGGCATTTATTTGAACACAGATTGAGGAGAACTGGAATCAAATGCTATAATTCTTGAGATGTCTTCAGCATAATCTAATATTCAGAATCACTGAGCGCCTCACTTCCTCCCTTGGTCTTATTTTCCTCCCTCTTCTCCCGTTCAGCTGGAGCTAGGCACCTTGGCTGGAGTCCTCCCTGGCGGGGGCGGCTGATTCCCAGAGCCCAGAGGCCCGGAGCCGCTAAATGGTGAAGGCTCAGCGTGGCAGCAAGTTCTGGCAAAGAGCTGATCTGTGAGCAGTTTCTCTTCCAGACGGGTCAAGTCCGGCTTCACGCATGGACTAGGAGAATTAAAGGAAGGTTACTTTATCAGCGGTGCCAGCTGAGCGCAGCCCAGGTGTGCCAGGAGCTGCAGGTGAGTTCCCACTCCACCTTATCTGCCCCGAGTCCAACACGTTGGCTAGGGCGCAGCTCCAAGAGGTCCGGAGGGCACATTTTTAGTCTCACCTGGGAATCTGCTCTAGGCTTCTCCTATTACCGCGAGGTCGCTAATGTTTAAACTCCTGTTCCAACCCAAGTTTGTGCTATTCCTAGTCTTTCCGCCTCTCTCCTTTCCTAAGCTGAGAGCCTGTTCTCCCGGAAAGTTTAAGAATGCACAGTGTCTCAATGCAGGATGGACACCCCAGTGGGTGGGAGCTCCCAATGATGACCTCTAGTTCTTAGTGACCCCCTAGGATTTTAATTAAAACTCATCATATTAGCCTTATATCTCAACAAAGCGGGGTGACTAAAGGAAGAGGGAGAAGAAAATAGAGCAGGAATAACAAATCAGACTGGAATAAGAATGAAGTGGGAAGAAAGGTTGCAGCCCAGGTCTGCAGGTACCCTACCCCACGCGCTCACACCTGGAGCAGACACCCCTATTGAGACTCTACAATATTTACAATGAAAGAAAAGGGGGAAATACAAGCCCTCAAGTTAGCAAGGACTCAGACCCAATTACCACCTCCTCGGCTTTCTAAACTTTGTTTTGATCTCCTGCCTGGAGAAGTGAGTCTCGCCATAGTCTTTGCTTGCGCCAGGCTAAGAGTACGCACCCCTCCTTCTTCCCCCTCCAAGCTACACCTCCCTCTCCCACTCCCTTCCCCAACCCCTCAGCACTCCAAGCAGCGCTACTGAAGATGGGGATCCCAATTCCAGAGTTGGGGGCGGGGGGGTGCGTACATCCGGGAAGAGCCACAGCGACTGGCTGTTTTTCCTGGGGCTGTCCTGGGCTGGGTCTACACATAACACTTTCCCTTGGCGAAACCTCTCCTCTCCTCGCAGCCTCCCAGCTCTGCCACTTGTGCGCTGCTACCGCGCACTCGCAGCTCCCTAGCGACAAAAAGGGGAACGAGCACAGCGGGTGGAGCGAGGAGGGGTGCGCGAGTGGGAGGCACCTCCCTCGGGAGGCTGGGAAATCCCGACCGTCACCAGGGGCCGTGCCACCGCCCTCGCGGGACCGAGGCTTCCAGCGTGTTCCCAACTTTGTGGCGCCCTCAGGCAGTGGCGGCGGGAATGGAGCTGCCTCATAGCGGCCGGACGCCGCTGGGCTCACCGCTGGACAGCTGCTCCCTGGCCTCTCTCGACTCCAGCGTCTTCTGCAGCGAGGGTGAAGGGGAGCCCTTAGCGCTTGGGGACTGCTTCACGGTCAACGTAGGCGGCAGCCGCTTCGTACTCTCGCAACAGGCGCTGTCTTGCTTCCCGCATACGCGCCTTGGCAAGCTGGCGGTGGTGGTGGCCTCCTACCGCCGTTTGGGAGCCCTGGCTGCAGCGCCCAGCCCCCTGGAGCTCTGCGACGACGCCAACCCAGTAGACAACGAGTACTTCTTCGACCGCAGCTCGCAGGCTTTCCGCTATGTCCTGCACTACTATCGCACCGGCCGACTGCACGTCATGGAGCAGCTGTGCGCGCTGTCCTTCCTTCAGGAGATCCAGTACTGGGGCATCGACGAGCTCAGCATCGACTCCTGCTGCAGGGACAGGTACCCGTGAGGCGCGGTGGCTGGGGGAAGGAGGGGGCGTGAAGTAGGTGTGATGCAGAGAGGAAGGCACAGGTAAAGATGTGAGGCTTTACGTAAGCTTCGCTGAAACCAGGCCTATGAATAGGTGTGGCCGCCTCTGGGCTGGAAGATGAGGTGGGGTTGTGAGGCTGGGAAGCAGGAAAGCCAGATTTTGAATTCAGCTTTTTGAACTTTCTTGTCCCTATTGTTTGAGTGAGTTATGCTAATTTCATGTAAAAGATAAGGAAAGCAAGACTTGTAATAAATATTTGGTGATTGATAGAATAAGTCAGAAAAGCTGTGCTTCGAAAGAAATCTAGGGGTGAAGGTGTTGGTATAGAGCACTGTTACATCTAGGACACTAACTTTTTGAAAAACTTGCATGGAGAACTGCTTTAAATACAGAAGGAAAGTTGGTTCCTTCACTGGATGATGGTAGAGCTTTGATGGGGACTTTGCTGCTATCTTGTCATTACTACCATTTCTTCATGAATAACTTTCCTTTACACAAAACAAAGTTCCATATGGCAAACAGCTGTTCTTGTTATCAGAACATGGGTAATAAAAATGCATTGATTCACAGTTGCTTTGTTATGTCTAAAATCCTTTTGCATAAACTCCTACTAAGAAAATGTCACTTTTAAAATCATGATCCTAAGTGAGAAATTCTCAGTTGCTGTGGGCAGGAGACAAACTGGGTAAAGTATGAATAGACTTTTTTTTTTTTTAACTGAAATAAAAGTATGACCTCCCTGTCAAGTTTCTCTTCTACTTCTGTATTTTTTTTAAAAGTTAAACTAATCACCAAGTTGTCTTCTCTAAAAGATACTTCAGAAGAAAGGAGCTGAGTGAAACTCTAGACTTTAAGAAGGACACAGATGATCAGGAAAGCCAACATGAAAGTGAACAGGACTTCTCACAAGGACCTTGTCCCACTGTCCGCCAGAAGCTCTGGAATATCCTGGAGAAACCTGGGTCTTCTACAGCTGCCCGAATCTTTGGGGTCATCTCCATCATCTTCGTGGCGGTGTCCATCGTCAATATGGCCCTGATGTCAGCTGAATTAAGTTGGCTGAACCTGCAGCTGCTGGAGATCTTGGAGTATGTGTGCATTAGCTGGTTCACCGGGGAGTTTGTCCTGCGCTTCTTGTGTGTGCGGGACAGGTGCCGCTTCCTGAGAAAGGTGCCAAACATCATTGACCTCCTTGCCATTTTGCCCTTCTACATCACTCTCTTGGTAGAAAGCCTGAGTGGCAGCCAGACCACACAAGAGCTGGAAAATGTGGGACGCATCGTCCAGGTTTTGAGGCTGCTCAGGGCTCTACGAATGCTAAAACTGGGCAGGCACTCCACAGGTATTCAAATTTCATTGATGCTTTTTTAATATGTCATTGTTATCAATCATTAGTGATTTGACCACAGTACACAGAAAGCCACTCTGAATTGATATGTGAAACTGACAGTTATCATACTTTACCCAAATATGACCTCTTAGGAGATACTGGGAAGCAAAATCTTAAAAGTTGTTATTGCAGATATAGAGGAAAAGGTATCTCTGACACGTTTTCTCTTCATAAGATGTTGAGGAACAATTTGACCATTTGATAACTTCAATTTATTGAAACCCAAGGTCAAGATGATGTACAAAAATTAAAGACTCTGCCTCTAGGTAGTTTTAGACAAAGCATGCATAAATAACACACAAATACATGCACAGTAATTATATAATGTTCGGAACATAAGCTAGTTTGTTGTCTATACCTGAGAAGTGTGTGCACACACTCTCTCTTCATAATATATATATATATATATATATATATATATATGTGTGTGTGTGTGTGTGTATATATATATATATATATATATATTTCTTCTGCCATATATGTTATATATGGCAGAAGAAAAAGTCATTCCTCCAGAGCCTTCACTGATCATGAGGAAGAGAGATAACCAGGTGCTGATGACCTTTCCTTAATTTTTAAAGTAGCAATGGAAATATATTACTTTGAAAGAGAAGACTCTACTTAAATGTCTTAGCTAGTATTTGAGAATTTTCTTGTTCTTCAGAGAGAGAAGAAACAAGAAGTCATTAATTTTTTTTGTGTTATAGAGACTTTGAAAATCAAGTGAACATTCCCTAGAAAAATTTTCACACAACACAATACATACATATGATTATACATGAAAATTATAGTTGATATCAGTGCAAGTCACACAGAATATTAAAGACAGTTCTTGAATGCAGTTGTTCTCAATAGCTGGTCCTGAAGCTGTTGAACATTCTGCAGTAATATGTAAGTTATCTATGTCACACCTAGGGAAAACAAGAATCCCCAAACTTGTTGAAATGTAGATTCTAAACCCCAACTCCCAGAAAGAGAGTTTAGTATGTGGGTTGGATCCATTCCAATAAGTTTGAAGGTGATTTGATATCAGTGGTTCCTGGACCATACTTTTGGGGATGCCATATTAATACAATACATATTAATACAAATACATATTGTTACAAATGAGTTGGCTAGAAATTCCTTTTCCAATCTTATTTCCATATAGATGTCCCTGACTAGCCACCTAAAGGGGATGATGATAGTAGTTTCTCCCTATAAATATAAGGGACAAATAAACCTCTGTGGTTTTTTTCCTATTACTTTACGGTAAATTAGAACTCACTCTAATATAATTTTGGTGTGTATTTTCCTAGCTAGTCTCATAGCCAGGGATTTGATAATGGGGTTTCTAACTACTTTTATAAGTTCTACTCTTCATTTTCTGACACACATAATGGGATGCTTTCTTTGAGTATTTATAAACTCTTCACAGTATTCAGTTTTAAAAACACTGAGCAAAGACCACATTTTTTTTTTCTCAAAAGAAAGGAAAAGGAAAATAATAGTAATTTTCATAGTGTCACCTCTTCAAAAGCTTTCTCAGTAATAAACAAGTATAAATCATTAATAAAGCCTTAATTTATTAAAAATATATGACAATTTCATGAATATTTGATAATTTTTCCTGAAGCATAACATTCAGCAAAATGTAGATATCTATGTAGATGACATATATCCCCACATATTAATTATGAATAAAGATGTATTACAAAATAATGGTTAGAAGGCCAGACTGCCTAAATTTAAAGGCTGGTTTTGTAGCTTTGTACTAGATAAAACTCCCTCTCTATGCCTGAGCCTCCTTATATGTAAAATTGTACAGCAATGACAATACCTGTCATATTTCTTTGAGGATTATCTAAGTTAAGAGATGGAACATGGTAGACATTCAGCCCCCTTTATATTTCTTAACAAAACTGTTTAGAGCACTTCATCTTTAAATAAAAACACGTTTTCTCAGACAAACACAATGTTTCTTCTCATATTGTCAGTTTACTTCAGAAATGTAATTCCATATAGACACATCAAGGCAAGTTTTATAACTAGGTGTTATAAATGTATTCTAAAAGATATTCTTTTGAAGTTAAATCTCAAAATTAATATTCATTGGTCTTTAAAAATAGCTGGTTAATAATACAAGAATATCTCAAAATTTGAAGAGCAAAATTCAAAACAATGAGAGCATGAATAGTATTCTACATCTTGAATAATCTCAAGTGAGTTAATCAGAATAAAAAATGATTCTAAAAGGTAATGCTTTGGACTTCTGGGGCAATGTCATTGTGATGCCATGTCTTCAAAATGTGTTTAAACTTTTAGAAGTATCTCTCTAGCATTAGGAGGGTGATCTATGGTTAATTTAAAGCCTAGTTTATAATGGGCTTAATACATTCACATGTGGAATTGGAATCTCTTGGGTCTGTCTCCCAGGGGATCAATGAGTCATCAGAATCTAGCCATGGGACCCCTCCAATGCCTCCTAATGATTAAATTTACCAGTGGCTCCATTCTTGTACCTTTTTGAAATGGAGGAACATTCTATATTCAACTGTTTTCTTACAGAAAAGCAGAAATGTTATGTGCTTAGGGAAGTAATTCCCTGTAGTTTTGATATTAAGGACTAGGATTTCAATGGGTGTCCTGGTAGTGCAAGGACCTTGACCTGATACACAACAAAGAATGTCCCCTGAATATATCTGTGAGGTTCTTGTGTCAAAACCTAATTTGCTTCTGTGCTTCATTTCATTGGTATGGTAAAAAAAAAAGGTTTAGTTACTCTGGCTTTCAGATAATGAGGCACCTGGTTGTTTTAAACTTTATCAAGAGGGTGACAAAGCAGACATACACACAAAGTATGAAAACAACATAAAACTGGTTTTAGAGAGAAGTCTGAAATGTTGCATTCACATGTGAGTTTGACCAAATGCACCTTCTATATGCAACAGTACAAAGGTCTCTCACTATGTAAAGTACAAAATTCCTCTCATACACCTTCTCCCTGCCTGTTAGCCTCATTCCTCTCCCTGTTTTAAGTATACATAGTAGAAGTTCAATAATTACATAAGCCAATTATATTTTTCTCTATCCTCATCAACTAAACTACATGATTCTGGAAGACAGAGGTCATGATATAATCATCTTTGTATCCCCAAACATTGCCCAGTGCTGGGGACATATTATGTGGACAGTGCATGTTTGTGGGTGGAGATCAAGGAGTGAGGGGGAAGGGAGAGAGAGGAGGGGTGCTAATGATGATTGACAGCAGATGTTCTGTTGCAGGATTGCGCTCACTTGGGATGACAATCACCCAATGCTATGAAGAGGTCGGCCTACTGCTCTTATTTTTATCTGTGGGAATTTCTATATTTTCAACCATAGAATATTTTGCGGAGCAAAGCATTCCTGACACAACCTTCACAAGCGTTCCTTGTGCATGGTGGTGGGCTACAACATCCATGACTACCGTGGGCTATGGGGACATTAGACCAGACACTACCACAGGCAAAATTGTGGCCTTCATGTGTATATTATCAGGAATCCTTGTCTTGGCCTTGCCTATTGCTATTATTAATGATCGCTTCTCTGCTTGCTACTTCACCTTGAAACTCAAGGAAGCAGCTGTTAGACAGCGTGAAGCTCTGAAGAAGCTTACCAAGAATATAGCCACTGACTCATATATCAGCGTTAACTTGAGAGATGTCTATGCCCGGAGTATAATGGAGATGCTTCGATTAAAAGGCAGAGAAAGAGCAAGTACAAGGAGCAGCGGGGGAGATGATTTCTGGTTTTAAATTGACTTCTAATGTATCTATAAAAGTTGTGTACGATTAATCAGATTGATAAAGCCTTGACATGGATATCTGTATTACTGATGAAGAATCTCTTCAGCACTATACATCTTAATTTTTGCTGATATCTTACCTGGTCTCCTAGAATATTTCACATAATCCATAGCAATTATACATTTTTTTGACACAGTTGAATCTCAAAAAGAACAACAAAATAAAATTGAGACAATATACACATGTCTGAATTGTCAAAATATTAAATAATATCATTGTGATACATATAATAAAGTTAAGTTTTACACATCACCAATTTTAGAAGTTATTGCTCCTCTAATTTTTTTTAAATGGCAGTTAAACTACCTAGACCAGAGAAAAGATAACTGAACATTTAAGAACACACTGAACATCTTTGCTATTTAAAGACATTCTCCAAGCAAATTACTCCTTTCTCCATCAGTTAAAATAGTTGAGTAACAATTAGCTTTGCAAGAGAAAAATCTGACTTAGTGGTCATAGATGGTGTCCCTATATACCATGTGGTGCAAACCGCTAGTCACAAATGGATCAAGCTCTGCCTCCCATTATTAATCTTGCAGGTGGGAGAACTAGACTGCTAAGTACTGTAGAAGATGAGTCTGCACAGACTTCGAGAACTGCACATTTTCACTCTCCCAGCTGAGTGTAATATGCATATTTCTTAGTTCTTTATAAAAATCAGATGGTTTTTAAAATGTCTCATTATGGATATATTATGTCTTCAACATCATGAATACGTAAAAGTGAAGTAGTGACATCCTAAATTTATATGTTGAAATTATTAAATGGTCTTATTTCATAAAATGAGAATATGTTGAATGACCTCATTGGATGAACTTGAAGATCTTTTATTTGTTAACAAAAAAAATATTATGGACAGCTTTCTGACTGTTGGGGTAAATAGCAAATGTTCAAACTTTGCAGGCATTTTGACAGCATTTTGACATTCATGATAATAATAAAATTCCTAGACATTCTGTTACATAATTAAAGCCAAAAACTCTTAAGCTAAGAACCAGCTCATGATTCCAAATATTCTAGTAAATGAGATTTTTAAAAATAATAATAATAACAAGGAATGGATAACTTTAATGCCTGCTTTCTCAGTATATGTAATAAAGCCCCTACAGGGAAGAAAATTGGTTCCTGGGTGGGGGAAGTCTTCTTTTTATGCATAAAGCTCAAATATACACATAGTACATAAACATACATACAGAATATCTGCAATACTAAAATTTCATAGGGAGGAAAATTAGAAAAATGCCCAGAAACTTCATTGCTGGTAGTGAATGGTGAGAAATGAATATAGAAAAGCATTGCTTTAATACATGCCCTAATATGCTTCCTTAACTGAATGTTAAGACAGCCTACTATCCTATGAACTACCAAGAAAGAAAGAAAGGTGCCAAATTCCAAGATGCCATTGATGGTAAAAGAAATCCATATTTTTGGATCTGTAAAAATTTATAATATATATCTTAAAAGCAATGAAATATTACATGCACTACCTCCTGTTTTCAGGTATGCATGCTTAAGCTCTGAAAAAAAATGTCATTGATGGCATGAGTTTTTATTATATACTGAAGTGGTTTAATTCATTTGACTATTTTGCACTTCTAAATATTGTAATATCTTTAGGAGATATGAGTATGAATAAATATTTTTCCTCTTACCCACAGACATGGGTGCCAGAGCATTGCATAGGGCCATTAGTCCTCGTGTACAACCCATTCATAGTCTAAAAGGTCAATAGAGGTCAGATGGAGAAGACAAACTTACTCTGGCTTCTCTAGAACCTTCCCAATAAGATTATTCAGGACTATGTCTGTATTCATCATGTATTAAGTCACTTTATCTTCAAAATGTCCCAGTTATGTAATTGCTATTCTTATACTCTTCTAAATATATATTTTATATATTTATTAATTCAACAAATATTTATTAAGGATCCTCTGAGTGTTGGGCACTAGAGAGTCTTTGTTAAACAAAGTCCTGTTATCTTGTATATAATATTTTATTCGAGGATATAAGAGGATGACAGATGACAAAATTGAAATAATAAAAAATTTAAATTTGCTGAGCATAAATCTACCTGACTCAGAAAATGATACTCTTAAAGTCTTATTATAGATTTTATTCTACCTACACAACTCATGAATAGGGATTCATTTTATAGGCAGGAAAGCCAACTTTTTGTGAATGGAGAGCCTTATGAAAAATATCAGTTTATTCTCAGAGGGAAAAAGGTGCTTTTTTTTAAAAAAAAACACAGTTGTGGTGACAGCTTAGTCATTACTGGACAAGAAAAAATTTGTCTTTGTAATACATAACAGTTGGAAAATTTAAAATTATATATACATATATATTTTCCCCATCACAGAGTATCCTAAATATGTTCTATAAAAAGTGGTTTGTTAGCTGTAAAAATTTTGTCAAGACATAGACACTTCAAAACAGTTTTAAAATATCATTGCTAAGTCAATTTTTCTGTTATACAAAACATCAGTGTATTTATTCAATAAATGTACATATAAGCAAGCGAAATTTAATTGAAGTAACAAATCAATGAAGAAACTGTGAATTTTATTTGTTTGTTTGTTTATGACAGGGATTGTACCCAGGGCCTTGCATATGCTAGTCAAACACTGCACCACTGAGCTACAATCCCAGCCCTCTCATTATTTTTAAAACATTGGGGATTCTTCAAAAATCTAAGAATTATTCCTATAAAACAATATCTAACTTGTTTAGAAATATATAATAAGGAAATGTCTTTCTCTAAACTATTCAGAAAAGACTAACTAAAAAACATTCGAATGCACAGAGCCAATACTGAGTACCTAAAATATTTATTTTACTGAGGAATCTCTAGCAGGAGTGACAGCATATTCATGTTTTATGGTGTTTTTTCTTCTATGGGTAAATACATACATATATAAGGAATTGTTTCAGTTATAATTTTAATGAAAAGTAGTATTAAGTGTAATGGATAACACACAAAGAAGTTCATTGAAGTAGAAATCTCAGTTATGTGTTTCCATGTGGAATTCTTACTCTCAGTAAAATTTTTTGACCAGCTCCTGCACAAAATATCTATGGCAACCCAAGTAATCTAAGTAAAAGGTTACCATTAGGTAAGCTTATACTTTTAACAAATATTTCCTCTGATACATTTTAACATGAAAAGCTTGAATTTTTTGAAAAGTAGCCATCAGTATCCCCAGGGTCTTATCCATTCTTTAATTGAGACCCAAGAATCATATTTGGTTGGTTGACAAATGTGTTCCAGTGTTTCTATTGGTGATTTTCCCCCTCAAAGCACCACCCTCTCCCAAACCTCTCTCCAAGCCATACTGCTAAATGGAAGAAAAATGTCATATAAGGAGAGCTTTACTTGTAAGCCACATAGGCTGTTGCTTACATGGTAAATCTTTAGGAATAATGGGATAACCTGGGTATTCATGTCCTCACTTGCCTTATATTATGATCACTCTCCTGCTTAACTCCTCATCTCCACTGACCTTCTCTTCCTTTCTAGTATCCAAATGGCAATACCGCAACCCTAATTAAATCCAAAGTCTATTTGTGCTTGTTTAAAAAAAAATCATGCTGACTGATCCCACTTTGCATTTATGTCTACAAACCCTTTTTCAGTTCTTGGTGCTGGTAGGCAATCATACTGCAATCCTTGAGTCCATTCACTCTTAAAATAAATGGAAACTTCTAACAGCTTTCTTTGATTCCTCTTTCACTCAAAAAAAAAAAAAAACTGAGTCATAGAGGAGATTTTCTACAAGAACCAGCACCCACATTTATCCACCCACCTCCATCTGTCTCCACAGAGCCTTTTCTCCCATTGCAAGGGCTGAACTATCCTTCCCATTTTTTCTCCCACTCTGAGACATGACTTCAAAAAGTTCCCTTTCTCCCTACCACACCAATAATTTTTGCCTTCCCTAGTGGACATTCTTATCAGCATACAAACATTATTTAATTTTTCCCATCTTAAAAAAAAATGGGGTAAAAAGGCAAATAAACTCCTTGAGTCTACTTCATTCTTCAGAAAACACCCAATTCTCTACTATTGTTCATGGCAAAATGTCTTGACACCATCTTCTATACTCAGTCTTTCAATTTTTACATTTATTCTTTCTTTTTCCTGAAAATCCTCTCATCAATCTTCCACCCCTCATCTCCTAAAAACCTGTTGTTCTTGTGCTCAGCAGCGACCCCATCACTGCTAAATCCAATTATGAATGCTGACAACTCATATTGTCTTTTCTAGCAGCAGCATTTATTTTTCTTTTTGCAGTAAGTACTGCATTGAACCCAAGGGTGCTTTACCACTGAGCTACATCTCCAGCCTTTTATTTTACTTTATTTCATTTTATTTTGAGACAGGGTCTAGCTAATTTTCTGAGGCTGGCCTTGAATTTGCCCTCTCCTACTTCAGCCTACTGAGTTGCTGGGATTTACAGGCATTTGACCAGGTTAACTACAGACCCTTCTCTGAAACACTTCCTTTACTTGGAGCCCTTTATACCCTCCTAATTTCACCCCTACTTCATTACTCAGTAATCTTCTGTGGTTGAGAGAGTCAGTCAGGGCCTAATCCTCATCTTATTCTGCTCTCTATTGATACTGCTCCTTTTATAAAAAGACTCTGGTTTCATAGGTTAAATATAACCAGCACTTGGTCAGCTCCCACATTTCCATGTCCAAACTTGACCTTTCCTCTCACCTTCCTGTATTTATTCAACAGATTTCCAATAAATATCTTAAAATTATCACCACCAATGTCAAGTTATTGACACTTCTTATTATGATTTATATATGAATTATCCTCCTAAAGAATCTGTGTTAATGCAGGATGTAAAATGATTAGATTAGAAGAGCTGTAATCTAGACCATCCATCCTATTTTAAATTGATTAACTGAATGGTAACTGTAGGCCAGTAGGGTATAGCTAAAGGGCGCGGGTTACCGGCAGCATAATCTGAAAGGTTTCATCTTTCATCAGACTCTTTGCCTCTCTCTCTGCTTCCTGGATACCATGAACAGAGCAGCACTCCTCCATCACACCCTCACCATGATGTTCTGCCTCATCTTAGGCCCAGAGCAATGGAGTTGACCCACCATGGACTGAACCTCTGAAACTATGAGCCAAAATAAACCCTTCCTCCACTAAGCCGTTCTTACCAGATAATTTGGTAACAGTGACAAACGGCTGACTAACACAGAAATTGAAACCAAGAAGGGGGGGTCACTTCTGTGACTAATCTGATCATCTGGTTCAGAAACCTTTGGATCTGATTTATGGAAGGAGTTTGGAAACATTGGAGACACAGGGTGGAGAATCCTTAGAATGTTGCAAGCAAAGCATAATGGGCCTTTCTGGTGTGAGCTGAGAAGACCAGAATGCCAAGAGGAATGGGGACAGTAGAAACACTGCTTATGAGTTTTAAGAGGGGTATGAGGACTCTATTTGGAATTGGACTAGAGGCCATTCATAATAAGTTTTATCAAAGAATGTGTCTGTCTACATTTTGCCCATATTTTGAGACTTTGTGCAAAGCTGAATTTAAGGGTTATGGATTAATTACTCTGGTGAAAGAAATTTTAAGGAGGAAATTTCAAGCATAGCATTCAGATAGTGGTATGAATTTTGCTGGCAGCTTTCAGCTAAGCTTACTGTAAAAATTAGGAGCAGATGGTAGAGTCAAAGGGTTTTAAAACCTTGAAGTTTCACCAAATTGCAAGAAATCTTATTTCATCTTCTTTAAAGGATCTATAGTCTAAGAAATTTTGGTAAATAAAAGAAAATAATGATGATATAATTATTTTCTACATTATTCAATTGCTCAATACCCAGATTATATACAAAGAAATAATAATTGAATCAAAGAAGATCTGACAAGTTAGGCAAAGACAAATATACAAAGACAGGAGAAAAGGGAATAAAAAATATGGTAACAAGAATGATTTTGAAATGATGGGAGGAAACATATTCCTTGATATATATCAATGATCATCTCAAAACCTTACACAGGGTAAGTAGATAGAATTTCAAAAATCTACCTACAAAAATCAAATCTTCCTTAAAAAGTAACAAGTTTCTCTAAACTAGGGCAATATTTCGAAAACCCTGTCTTTATACATGTCTTTGCTGTACAGCAAATGTTTTATCTTAAGTGGTCTATAATTATTATTGCCAACTAATTCTAAATGGTACATGTGAAAATAAAAGACATTTACTGTTGCCATGGAAACTATACTTTGTAGGAAATTTATTTAAACAGGCCTTGCTTCTAAAGTTAAAAAGAAAAAAACAAAAGATCTTCACAGACAATAATACCACCTTGACCACCAGCCATCAGGAAAGAAAACAATGAAAATGTAAAAATAAAACTTTTCTACCCTTAGCTGAACTTATAACTTCTTTCTTCACAGTGAGATATTTTTTTTAGTTAGTAATTAAGTTGTTATTCTTCCTTTTTTTTTCCTTTAGATTCCTATCAAGAAAAATTCTCCCTGGAAAAATTCTGTGTACAACAAATGCAATTTCTTTTTAAAATTGTTCTTAATTTTTAAAAAATTGACATAAATTAATTATACATATTTATTGGGTACAATGTGACATTTTAATACATATACCATATGTAATGATCCAATCAGGCTGACAATTCTTTTTACATTTAAAGATACAAAATCTAACTTTGTAATAATAATTTTAAGAAACATACTATCAGAAGACATTTGACAAATTTTTGACTTAGCATTCTTCTACTCGCCCTTTTTAATGAAGCATTTTGTATTATTTTTCTCATACACTGATACAATATACTAAAGAAATATCTCAAAGAAAATTAAATAAATCAGACACAAAAAGACAATACCACATACTCTCTCTCATATGTGCATGCTGTTAAAAAGTTGACTAGATTGTACAGTAGTGATTACTAGATCTGAAAAGAGCCAGGGAGGTTGGATAACAGGTATCAAAGCCCGGTTAGATAAAAGGAATAAGTTCTAGGATTCTACAGCACAACAGAGTGACCACAGTTCAGGAAAAACTATTGTATATTTTATGAGTAACTAGAAGAGAAGAGCTCAAAGCAATGGTAGGGAGATAGAAATGTTAGTTAACCTGATTTGATCAGTACACATTACACACATAGTTTGAAATATCACATTTGAAACCTATAAACATATACAATGTTGTGTTAATCAAAATTCTTTTAAAATATTTAATGAGATATAATTTTAAATTCCATGATTTGGTTATTACACACTACATACATGTACTGAAATATCACCTTTTAACCCAAAACCTTATACATGTAAAATAATAATAATTAATAAAAATGAAATACATAAAGCAAGAAGAAATAACTCACAGAAACAAACATCATTCCCAATTTCTTAATGCATGGACAAATAGGTCTTTTCTCTCCAGTTGGCACCTATCATATTACAATGTAAATAAATCTTCAGTGAACTTTCAACACATACCTATTAATCCAATTAGCTAAATCACCTTTTCATATATTGCTGATATCTATTTTCTTGAACTGTTTTTTCAGAGTAAGACTTTTTCATTTAATTTCATATGACACTGCTTATATGCAGACAGAAGACCTAATTAACTGTTACTTATAGGAACACAATAGTATATGATATAGAAAAGAAAGAACTGTAATATAATTTATCTAATCCATATCAGAATTGGAAAGAACTGAATAATAACCTTTTTATATCTTCTTTTAATTTAGTTCATTTGTTTGTTGTTTATTTGTTTGTTTGTTTGGTACCAGGGATTGAACCCAGGGGTACTTAACCACTGAGCCACATATTCGGCCTTTTTAAAAAAAAAATTGTGAGATCAGGGGCTTACTAAGTTGTTCAGAGCCTCACTAAGTTGCTGAGGCTGGCTTTAACTTGCAATCTTCCTGCGTTAGCTTCTCCAGCCACTGGGATTACAGGTACACATCACCACACCTGGTCCTTCTTTTAATTTTTGAAGAAAAAAATGTGGATCAAAGATAGTGTTACAAAACAAGACAACCACATATTACAGCTATATAGAATTTATTTTATAAAACTGGAGTTATTTTTGATACCTATATAACAAAGGTATTTTCAGTGTTATCATTTTAATACCAAAACAAGGTCTCTACTAGAAGTAATTAAACAACTCTTACTTTAAGATTCATAAATAATATGAATTAGCAGATAGGAAGCATTATTTCTTCAAACTGCAGATTAAAAATGACTAATAGTTCATTAAATAAATGTATTGAGTTGTAACTACTACCTTTTTAAAAAATAGAATTGATGGAATAAAATGAACTGGATAGAATAGAAGAGAAGGGAGAGGAAGGAAAGGAAAGAAGAGAGCAGGGGAGGGGAGGAGAAGAGAGGAGAGAGAGGAGTTCATGGTAATAATAGGACTTTAATTGAAATGTAACAACTTGTCAATAAAAGGGCTTTGCTTTCATTATTGTTTTTTAAATATTAAATGTAAGGAGCTTGAAAGTTACCACTTCATAATAAGAAGAACTGAAAAGCTGAACAGACTGAAAAAATCAACAAGCCTTTTTTTTTTTTTTGGATTTGTAAGAGGAGGACACAGGGCAAGCTGCTGTTCCCCAGACTACAAAGACAGATAAAGGCACACAAGGAGTCACTGCTCACAGGCACAGATTCATGAGTGGGGACTACTACAGCAACCAGTCCCAAAGGAGGAAAGCCTGAACTGTCAGTGATGAATTTTTGGAGACAAGTCTAAGACTTCAAAGCTTCAGAAGGACCCCTACAATATTTCCAGATTTACCTCCAGAAGTTCAACCAAGTTCCCACAGTAAATTTCAGACAAATTCCCTTATGCTCCCAGCAAGGGAAAAGAAAACTATACACCAGAGGACTTTGTTCTTCACAAAGCAGCAGCTAGTTTTCTACAGCCTAACCTGCTGGGGTACTCTCAGAGCTTAACTGACAAGGAAAGGGAAATATCCAAGTCCAGTCAGCTCTAGCCCTACATGGGGGAGAGATGGAAAATACTTCATTCTATCCCACTCTAGCAAACCTGTCCACCCTAAGAGGGATGGGGTGAACTGAGAAGGACTTGAGAAAACCATTCCAAAGCCCAGGCTGGCTAAGAGACTGAGACCTAATCATAGCAACTGGGAATGCCTCCC